GGCTACCTGGAGATCGTTCACACAGTGGAAGGAGTTCGTGAAATGACCTTCCTTACATAAATGCGGTTCGTTGGAAACAATTTGTTGTCAACATATCTAGGTATGTCTCCTTAATGATCATTGGACTTGTGAGAAACGCGACCATATTGATGCTGAGAAATGAGTTAATTCGTGAATTTTGCCTCAAAAATTACTTTAATTTGAAAATTTTACTCATAATAATAGTCTCGACGAATTTTGCGTTATTGAATGACAGCTGGTTGGGCTGGATGCTGCGCTGACACCAATACTCCGATTAGTCTTTTTCATGATAATTCCGGTTCATTGACTTGAACATTCAATTTATTATGCATATTGCTGTTGTGTGGCCGTGGTTCCGTTGTAGCGACGTAAGCTCTATCTGAAGAACTGAGGTACTCGATGTTCGGTCTGTCAGCGTTTCAATTGCGAAACTGTGGGCAAGTATGAGCCTCGTTCTCGCTGCACATGCACATAAATGCTGCTAGATAATTTGGTACCTAGCGCATTAAATGTGCTCTCGATTGTAAATTAGTTAGAACAAAATTATAGTTGCCTACTTGTTTGCTAAAACTATGCATACCACTAAGCGCATTGGTTTATTGTGTATCTGAGAATATTCGATTTGTGCCGACGTAATGTCGCGAAATTTTCAGCTTTTGCTATCTATATAGATCAAGAATTCTTATGGCGAGCTAAGAATAAGCTATATCTTGTATTTTTCTCGATCAATCCGTGATCACTCTTGACGTTATCTCAATAACAACGTGGCCACCTGATAGGAAACTCAAGTGCTTGGCCCCTTTACACAGGATGCTGACGTATGCTAAGCGTTCTGTGGAGGGCAATCTCTTCGAACTCTTCAGTTTGACGTGGCCAGGCTGAGTGAACGTTGCTCTGCCTTCGAAAGTTCCCTGCCACCGAGTGTAGAGCTCTCAGTACCTTGAGAATTTATGAGATGGTGGGAGAGGAGGAATCTTGAAACGTGTGGGCTGTCCTCCGATTGTGGGCTATTAGAACTTTTCATTCATGAAAAATGAGCTGGGTCGTCAGGAATTCGAGCCGTAGCAATGCTTCATTTTTTATAAATCGTGATCGCATCTCATGAAGTGACAAACCTAATTTTTTGTCATTCTCCATTTACGCGGTGGAACGAGTTTCTTTGAGTTTTTTGACGTATATAGATAGGCGATGCTTGCGGTGATTGAATTTAACCAACCTGCTACTTGAAAACCTCAGTTTTGATTCCCGTCAAAATTATCACGGATGCAGTTCGAGCGTTGTTTGTTCTTTGTGACTACTTTTTTCACTAACCACTAATATAATTCTAATTATGCGCTGAACTCTAAACTGAAAGAAAAATATTTTCAATGCTCTGTTGCTAAGACTGTGCAATTAAAGAAATTTTTGCTGAAATTCTATTAAGCTTGGAGTGACTTTTTTTACCAGCTCTTTTTAAAGATTAAGTCGATAATTTCACCGTCAACGCGCACGCTAAAAGTCCGACACCAGTGGCTCAACGACCCTGTCTAAACTGTCCCTGCCGTGCAAGTTTGCGTCGTGCCAACGAGAGTTTTACTCTGAGCTGCATGACGAATAATTTGGCCGTATTTTTAGTTTTAGACTCTTATACTCTTTTGAAAATTACGACAAAGAATAGCAGATTGTCACATAGATCAGTCATTTCGTAACTTGTGAATTGTTTGGATTATGTTGAGTTTTTGATAGCGTGGAGGAAATTTATATTCATGCATCTTTTATTAGTCCTATTGACCATCCCTTGTATCTTCGTTATGTGGCGCTGAGACCGCCACACAACAATCGCCGCCACCGTCTGTGCCTTATAGACTGGTGCGCCTTCCTTTTAGCGACTACGAATGAAAACATTTTTCGGTTCTGAATAATTTCTAGGGGTCAGTAACAAGGTTATAATTTAAGTATATTCCGGCATGGGGAGTTTTGCGATCAACATGGACCACGTCCAAGCATATATTATGCCGCAAGTTTACAAGGGCTTTATTTTTGTAAGTCAAAACATGTTTAGTTAACCATACGTTGGTGGTTATTATCTCATAGCCGTCCGTGGTCTTGAAGGGAAAATTAGACGACTAAAATCTATTTAGCTCTCATCTGTGTTGGCAGTGTTAGTGACCCTTGCTATAAACTTGTAAAAATTAACCCTCTTATAATTGCTCGTGTATCTGTAACTCGAAATTCGAGGAAATAGTACGAGTAAAGTATCGTGTTAATGTCAACTGGGTCACCGTGTAAATCTAGATTCTAGACCGAACCATTGTGCTGTGAATGGCAGTTGGTGCGTCGTATTTTGGCCTCCACAGATTTGTTTCTTTCGTGATGTTCGGGTACACGTCTGATATGACATCATATAATGCATGTGTGGGGTTTGCTTCCATTTAATTTATTCAAACTGAGAGCGGTTAACAGGTGATGTTTTAGAAGAAATTCGTACGTACGTGTTACCTGCCACATCCGGTCCTTGGAGATGCTCTTCTTCGTCTCTTAGGTATCACTCGCGCACGTACTGCTAGTTCAAGTGTATACCGTACGTTTTTAAGACGAGCTGTTATAAAAATTTTGCCTCGAAAGAATAGGTTGTCGTATTGGAGGATGATGTTTTTGTATAATTTTAACATAAATCTTCTGCTGGCCACTTTATGCATCGTGCAATAGTTAATTATTATATATCACTGTATCATGATAAAATCGCGATGCACAAGAAGGCCACGTTGAATTGTCGATGTTATCTGCTGACAAAGATTTCAATTAATTTTTGAAAAGTGAATATGTGTGGATAATTCTGAAATGTGGTTGGTGTTGCGTTTGAGCGAGTAGTCGCTATCTACTGTTGCTCCCATAGTCTGGGTTTAATTTTTTTACGTCGTGTGAAGCTGGCGCAGTGCGCAGCACAAGCAATAATCAGATGCCTCTGTGTTTGTGGTCAGCTCATACAAGGCTGTCCTCACTTCTAGGATAATGCTTTCGCGAGAGCCCTTTGTATTGAGGGGACATCACGAAATATTAAAACAAGAGAATTTTTTATGTGAATAAATTTAACTTGCGTAAGAATATCTAAAAATAATTTAAATGTAATTCCCCGTGAGCGTTGAACTAAATATGGTTCGATGGCCTGTAATGTGCATAGCTCGCGCAGTCTTATAGGGCGGTCAGTGCGCGTCTGTGCCAAAATTGTCACGTGTGTGTGGCCAACCTGCACTTCTAGCTGCCGTGATGCTGCTTTTTCGCGGTATCATTTATTCTCGAGCATGTCTCCTGCAACTGTCACATTTTTAAGCTTCATGATTTCTCATAATCATATTTACACACTGCGTAGTTCAGATTTTTTGCTGTTCGATTTTCTAGTATGTTTATTCAGAATTCGTTCATAATATCAGCAGATAAAAACATCAACGTCTAAATGGTTAATTTTCAAACAAGGTTTTAATTTATTTATACGCAGGCTTAAGTTCAAAAATTTTACTTTTTTCTAATGTTATTATCCTAATTCAATCCAGAAATTAGGATAATAACAGAATACGCTTGTAACTGAGCGTGTCGCTATTGCGCTTGAATTGAAGTTACCGAATTTAGGTTGTTAATTCTTTGACTTTGTCATTATTATTCTTCAGGAAAAGCAAGTAACTGTTGCTTGTCCATTATTATTGTTCAGTAATTAGAAGTGTTGCCATTTAATTTAATTGTATTATGTCATTACTTTCGGCTGGAACCAGCGGTTCGTTGCTCTCAATACTAATTATTTCATGATGACAATTAACAGTTTTTATTTAAGTCTCTCAATTGGCTGACTAGCGCATCATTTACGGGCAATGAATTACCATTCTATAGGCAATAGATTGATCGTCATACTTCTTCTGCAAATTTAACTTATTCTTATTGCATATGGAGCACTTGAGCATTAGGCGTGAGCTCTGTAGTTGACCGAGGATAATGTGCAGGCGCATTGCTCCTAACGACGCAAGTGTTGTTCTTCTCCGAGATTATTACGTCACAAGTGTAGACTTATTCCTTTATTCCTGGATTACAGGCCCCGTATCGATACCGTAATTTAATCTTTACGACGGCTTTTATGATAGTTTGCCTGTTAGGCATGTAGCCCATCATAATTTGCAATGGAAGTTTTTTACATAATCAATTCCTGGCTGTCGCTTTTGATTGTTGTTTTCAAGCTTCTACGTTCCCGAGTATAATAGAAAAGTGTAAAACTGTTGTTGTTGGTTTGATGAGAGTTGAGCTTGAGAATTGATTTCTAATTGTTTAACTTCGATTTTTTTACTTATCGTTATTTTTTTTAAGAATGAATGAATAGTTGCCTGCGTCCTCTTTACAACTTGTCTTTCTGTACGCCTTTATTTATCATAAAATCTATTCTAAGGCACTGATCTATCGTGGGAAATAGTTCTCCTATAGTGCTTAACTATTTTGCCATTTATTTTAGCTATGCCGTAGACTTGCCGAGTTTTTGGTTCCAAGCTTGTATGCCTCGCAGCTTGTCGTTGTCCTCGCATGTCATTTCCTTGCCCTCCCGAGTAGTGCGCTCTTCCGTAGCTTGCTTCTGACTGTACTTCGTGTTTTTAAGCTTTAAATGATTAGCATCAAATGTCTTGCTTCAAAATGTGGTGTAGTTGTATTGTTTTAGCTTATATGTTATAAAAACTTGTATAAATGACTTTATATTTTTCCTGAAGTAGTCCCATTTTGAAGATTGTGATTTTAAACGAGCTTTTGATTAGCGTACATTTGGAAATTTGTTCGTCGAGCGAACAATATTTGTACATAAATTCCCAAAAGTCACTGAATATATATTCGCTTATCAATTCCTGATTCATCAATTCTCGAGAGGTGTTAGCATATAGCGAAGAAGAAAAATAGCATAAACGAGAAATGTCCAAGTGTTGTTTATTGTGAATGTTTTAATGTTTTTGAATTATTGCGTTAACTTGCAGAAAGGCAGCAGTGGTAACAGTTTACTGAGCTGCGACTCTCGTACACCCGCTACTAGAGCGTCACCGGACAACCACATCATCAGCATGACAGCTGATCCCTCCTCTGCCCTCAAGAGAAACCTCTACCGACACACACCTAATGGAACAGGTCCGGTACTGCATTTCTCCATATGCTTACATCTACATATTATTCATTTCAATTTAGACGGTTCTTATTACAAAATTGTGAACGAAGGATGAAATGGGGAAATCAATCTTTGCTCAGCCCATTCAGACCCCAGTATATATTTTATATCCCATTACAATTCCCGCGAAAGTTAAATGATAATTTCGCGCGTGTCGAATTCCAAATAACATCGTATATATATCTTGACATAAGTTCGCCGTTACCGTTTTGTCACAATATAACTAACTTACAAACTTCAGCTTTTCACTTACATTTCGATCTATCCAACTACTCGTAACAATGCGTTTCTGTAACAACCTGCCTGTGTTGCTTAACGTCTACAGACACGCTCAGACAAGCGCATTGTCTTGGTCAGCCTCAAGACGAACGTCTTGTTTTTCTTGAGATCATTTCCAAAGAATGATGGCGATCTTTTTTTTCTGTTGTGTTCGGCGCATTATTGCGTGTCAGAGACAAGTGTTTATCGAACAAAAGCTGATCGCAGCTGCGGTGCCGTGCCACCTGTGTCAGCCTGGTGCACCTGTACTTACGAGCGCTAAACATTTCTACGTCTATCTTGTGTACCAGTCTAGCATGTGTCTCTCAAAGTGTCTGACTGTTTTGTAAGCATCCGTCCGTCAAGAAGTTAGTGTCAATCTGCCCATGATTAGTTGGATGTATTTTTGAGTAATTTTAATTCATCAGTGATGCTGTTGGTGCCAATTTGTCAGTGCAGTTCAGTGTGTTAGTCAGTTCATAAGTGTAGTTGTCAGTGTTGATCTAAGAGTCGATTGAGGGTTGAAATGGCGCACAAACTCCAATAAAGCGGCCACACTACCACATCGATGTCGCCTCCAGCTCATCAACGTACGCTCTGTTTGCCTCTTGTGTCTGATCGATTCAGCCCCTAATGAATAATTGCATCTCGTCTATTACTGCCATGGCCTCATTGATGTCAATTTTTTCCCCTGTCCGATATATTATACCGGTAGTATTATTTTGCGCGCTCGTGAACTCGATTGTTTCAAAAAATTTTTATTAAGAAACCGTTAGATTCTTACAATTTCTAAGAAATATGAAGCAATATTTTAGAGTAGTGTCTGGTCTTAAATTTTCCATGGTACTAGACGGGTTAAATTTTATAACAGGTTAATCCTTTAACATATTGTTCATAGGTTTGGAGTTTTTGTGATCTAGTAGAGCACGCAGTATTAAGTATATTGTGTGTACAGGAAACGGGAAGAGCGTCGCGGAGAGCGTGAATGGGGGCAGTACAGGCGGCATGTCGATGTCTCTGCAGGACAGAATAAAGGAGAAGCAGGAGCGCCAGAAGCTGGTCCTGTGGAGACGACCGCTCACTACACTGCACTATTTCTTGCTCGAGACGTGGCATCTGTGCAGACACTACCTCACTAGGTCTGTTGCTGCTGCTGCTAGTATGGTCTTTAATGGTTGATAGTTAACTTGCTTCTGATAACAAACCATGAGTGGAGGTGGTTCTTGATCGGAATGATCTCTTATTTTAAATACTTTGATGCAACCGCTCTTCCTCGCCAATGTAAACCGAGTGTGTATGTGTGTATTGTGATGCCTGGTTTCGTTGATATTGTGAACAGTGACTACTTAACCTAAAGATATAAAAGAAAGAAGTGTTTTATATGCATACCTACAGCGTGCTGCTGTGCGCTGAAGTACGGAACCATGAAATGTATCGTGCGTTCAAATTATATTACATTATACTTCCCATAAAATATCTAATTCGGTTGTTCCTCGGAAAATCCCCTGAAAGCATGCCATGTTTTTGAGATTTTCACAATTATTTTTTGCTTAATCGATTTTTGAAACGAAGTATTAAAACTTTTCGAAGTGTTGTTGTCTGCCATGCCATAATACCTCAGACGAGTGTTGTGTTGCAGAGTATGGCACCACAAGAAGGCTGTGGTGGCAGTGCTGGCGGTTGTCTTGCTATATTATGCCATCAAAGCCACGCCAGGACCGCATCAACAGGTAAAACACCAACGCATTTGACAAGCTGATTGTTTAGCTTTGGATTTATTACTTATCATTTTTTTAAAAGTTACCTGCGTCTTCTATACAACTTGTCTTTCTGTGCCGCTTTCTTTATCACAAAATTTAATCTAACGCACTGATGTATCGTGGGTAATAGTTCTCCAAGAGTGTAGAGCTATTCCTACTGCAAAACTCATCTCCTATTTATCTCCATGATCCTAATATGCTGTTACTAACACACAAATAAATATGTTGAAAGCCTGATGCCTGAGTACCGTACTAGGCCCACACGATCCTTGTTTTTCTGGGGTTTCCTTTATCGTACAGTCCAGAATAGAATAGTACCTACATTTGAAAAGTACTCATTAAATCATGGGAATCTTATTTTCGTATCGTGAAATATTTTCTGAAGGGGCTGACGCTAAGCATCACTCTAGATGCATCCAAATTGTTCTGAAAACACTTCTTAACATAGGTACCGAGACATAATTGTCAAAATTACACGCACGAAAGCCTTGTGAGGAATCTCCGCTTTCTGCCGCCGTCTCCTAAAACGCTAGTTATGCCGCTCCTGAGCGTCGTGTTCTGGTCTGGTTTAACGACGCCACGTTCGCAACCCGGCGTCTGGGCTCGGCTGGACGACGTCTTCTCCGCAACATCTCGCGCACAAGCTCTTGAAGTGTAGAATTGAGAGAACGAGTGATGACTGTGAAACCCGATGAGTGATCTGTATGAAAAGTGATGCGCGAGCTACCGGTATGGCTGAGCTCGTCCTTGGTTTTATCCGAAGAAAACGTGCATTTTCTTTTTCTTGCCGTTCGATGCTCTTGAGCCGTTCAAGTCAGTGCCTCATCCTTCAGCACCCTGAACTGAATGGCTGACAGTGTCGCAAACCTTCTAAAGGACGCTGACAACAATTGTTAGAAAGGTTGCATATTCACGTTGCTATTTCTGTTATATTATTTGTTAAGTCACAATTTTTGTTGAAGGTTATGGGCCGCGTATCGATGTACTGGGTGTGGTGCGGCTGGTGGCTGTGGCTAGGCGTGCTCTCCTCAGTGGGTCTGGGCACGGGACTGCACACCTTCCTGCTCTATCTCGGCCCCCACATCGCCTCAGTCACCATGGCCGCCTACACCTGCAACTCTCTCAACTTCCCCGAGCCTCCTTATCCTGATGAGTGAGTCACAGCTTCCATCAGACGCCAGGTCTACTCACCTGAGTGGCTGGTGATACCTTGTCAGTTGCATGGTTGTTCCTACGTGTGCTGGCAAACTCATCCTCAGCAGTCGAGGTGTGGGCCCTTCCCTTTGTAAGTAGGTAGCCTGACCAATGACTGGAGTAATGGAGACCTATTCGGGCGCTCATCACTAATAAGTAGACCTATTTGTTAGTTGATCTCTTTCAGCAGTGCAAGCATCGCTTTTGAAATATAAAAGTGTAAAATTTTAGCCCGCGTTTATTATAATTGACGCTTTAGCTCTCTTAGAGCTCGGCACGTCATAAATTATTTAAATCAAACTATATTCACTGTATTTCTGATATCCATTCTAATTTCCTTCATGAATATGAGTTCTCTAGCATTAGGCGAATTCCGTAACTCTTATTATCTAGGCAGCTGGGAAGACTTCTGCCTAATTAGTGTTAGTCGCAGCATCACTGCAACATCCTGCACGCACAGCCACCGCTGCATGTTTCTCTCTCAGTGCCTGCGATGCATGCCCTGACCATCTTGACACTCGTGCTTCTGGCTCCTGAAGAATGTTCTTGTGATCCATGCTGAATTTTATTTTTTATTTGCCGACTTTTTAAAATTTTGTTTAATTTATTTGTTGGGCTTAGTTTTAAACGAGTATTGCTAGGGTTTTTGCATGCTGAAGTAAAACGTTAGACTTTAAAAGCCTAGACAACATTAATAAACTTAATCTTCTGCTACACCTTCCACGCTGCTGATACTGAGTAGTGCTAAGTGATGAGGTGGCGTGTTGACATATAATTTCTGTGCAGGATCGTGAGACCAGTTACAGTTAGAGACAAAATTATTCATACACCCTTTCTTTTTAATGTTCCTTGAATAACTCGAAAATTAATGAATGTATTACCTTGAGATTTGATTGAACTAAGCAGTATGTAATAGGGAAACTAACACTTCATTTTCAAAACAAAATCTAATTTTAGCGCGTAATCAAAGCGTATTAACATGCAAAATTCTCCAACACCTTCAGACACAATTATTCGTGCAGTTGTAAAATACTAAAATCATATTAATCATATGTCATATTATTGTAGTCATAATAATAATTAATTATTATGTCATATAATTATAGTCATATATACATACCGGATACATATTATTATGGTCATATTAATAATCAATGGCCTGTCCTTCTTGATAATCTTCAGCAGTCTATCCCTACAGTTCTTGATGAGATTCGCAATAGTATCCGGTTTGATATTATCCCATTCCTCAATTACGACTTGCTTCAATTACTGGCGATTCTTGGGAGCCCTATTATTGTTTCTAAATTTCAAGTCTTGCCATAAATTCTCATTTGGGTTCAAGTCGCGGTTATTTTCTGGTCATGGAACAACAGCCACCTTTGTTTTATTAAGAAAAGTGGTTGTAGCTTCTAAATCATTATATTGATGAAAGATCCATCGTCGTCCAAGAAACAAATTCAGAACGGATGTTTGCGAGTCTTCATTCAAAATCGACTTATATACAGCTGGGTTTATTATTCCAGTAATTGGAATTAACTTCCCGGTGCCACTTGAGGAGAAACAACCCCAATACATCATTGATCTACCACATTCTTGACTGTTGGAATTATGTTCTTCGGAAGGAAAGCCTCCCTTTTTTGCGCCAAACCTTCTATGTACTATCATGTCCGAATAGATCAATTCATCACTCGAAAGTACTTGGTTCCAAAAGACTTCCCCTTGTCCACGTAAAATCTTCTCATAACTGAAAACGAGGTTTGGCAGCGTGCCATCATGAATGCGGGAAAGAAGAATCTTGGATCTTTGGAGGCGTTTGTCAACAACTTGAGCAGACAGTTGGTATTATTTGACATGCTTGAATGGGGACAACTTTAGGTCCTTCCGGAGAACAGTCGACATGGTTCCATACGACACATTTGACTGTTTTGCCAGTTTATTGATTTTTAAAAAACCAATGTAACGCTAAATATTGATGACCCTGTATAGTGATAGGTGGCGTGATGATACCTACTTATATAATTTCTGTGCAGGATTGTGTGTCCAGACTCAGTAGAAGCTGCTCCCGTACTCAACATCTGGACCATCATGAGTAAAGTGCGGCTGGAGGCCTTCATGTGGGGCGCTGGCACGGCTCTGGGTGAGTCCCTCCCGAGACTCATGAAGCCTTCTCAACTTGAGATTAAGATTAAAACTTTCGATTTGCAATTAAAAGTGTAATGAGATCGTTAGTTTGAATGTAAAGCAATACCCCAAAATCATTTTATCTTTTCTCTTCAGGTATAAATATTGTATTTGATGAGTCTTTTTTTGTCAATTGTTTTAAATATGCATGCTTTCCTATATCAGTGCTTAGACCTGGAGCAGAGGTACCATTAAATTCCGGCAGCTAACTAGCCAGTGAGCTTCAGAAATTTTTTCTGTGGATCTTTCAATTAACATTGCAGCAATAAGTGGCTGTTTCTCGGTTCTGCCAGCTAATATGAGCATCTGCAAAGGGTTGGACAATTTATAGGTGCGTGAGTTACTAGTTGTCAAACCCAGTATCAGTTATTATAGGCAACTATATTCAGTTAACAGTGATGGATTTCTTTCTTGATTCTGTCTCCGGATTGGAATCTCTGATCGATAATTTTTTTTATCAAATAGGGTTAGTTTCCCCACCCTGGTAGTCAGATTATTCGAGTCCCACGTTGCGTTGTGAGCTACTGGATTATTTGAGTCCCTCGTTGCGTTGTGAGCTACTGGATTATTCGAGTCCCTCGTTGCGTTGTGAGCTGCGTTGTGAGCTACTGGATTATTTGAGTCCCACGTTGCGTTGTGAGCTACTGGATTATTTGAGTCACACGTTGCGTTGTGAGCTACTGGATTATTCGAGTTCCACGTTCCGTAGTTATCTACTGGATGCTTTACTTATTCATCTCACCTACAGGGGAGCTGCCGCCGTACTTCATGGCGCGTGGGGCGCGCCTGTCTGGCTACGACCCCGACGACGAAGAAATGGCCGAGTTTGAGGAGCTTCAGCGCCTCAAGGAGCGGCCCGAGGACATGAGTTGGCTCGACAGGGCCAAGCTCAGCGTCGAGAAACTCGTTGAGAGGGTCGGCTTCTTTGGCATCCTCGCCTGCGCCTCCGTGAGTCTTTCCTGCAATACAACTGTCAATTCTAAAATTTTATTTTTAAAGCCAAACGACTTTGATTTCAGGAATTAAAAGCGTTTGTTGTATGTGATGTTTGATGGTTACGAGGTACGTGATAGTAGGAACACGATTCGCTCACTAAATCAAATCAGACCTTACGATCAGAAGGTCGAAAGAAACTAGAAGAAACTTCCTTGGCCAATCCTTCTCATGATTAGGTGACTCCATGATCAAAAAGGATTTTGGTTGGAGATGTCTGAAACTTGAATTGATTGACCCACGTTTTGCTTTTAGACTCGTAGCAAATGAAACATGTTAATAAAATTATTTCGTACGTATAAAAATTCTAATTTGTGTCATTTTGTTCATTCCTGTTACATTAATTAACTAGCATCCACACGTCGCATTGGCACATTCTCAATGTTCCTCCTCCGTATACTGTACCTGGAATGCTTACAGATCCCGAATCCGTTGTTCGACTTGGCGGGCATCACGTGCGGTCACTTCTTGGTTCCCTTCTGGACGTTCTTCGGGGCGACGTTAATCGGCAAGGCGGTGATCAAGATGCATATACAGAAGCTCTTCGTCATCATCGCGTTCAATGAAGCTCTTCTGACGAGCGCCCTGGACCTGCTGGCCAGCGTGCCTTTGCTCGGCCCATCGCTTCACAAGCCATTCAAGAAATTCCTCGCCGGTCAACACTCGAAACTCAAACGAACTCCTGGGGCTGCGGGCACTGAAGCTAAGGTGATACTAGTGGCTCCACTCTTAATGATTTGTTCAAGATTTATTAGAATGAATCTCTTGCATCTTAATTTTCTTCCATACAGACATGCAAGACAAGGTTAGACGGAAAATAATAAGCGATATAATTGCAATCTAGTCAATAACTCATTCATGTTCATTAATCAGGAACTCGTTATAAAGGCATGGAAATATATTGATGAATTCCATTCAATCGCGGTCCAACATTCAATGAGTTCTAACCGAGTCTGCTTTTGTATGCTATGCTATGTTTTGTCTCGATAGCTCACTTAATAAAGTTTGTCAGGGCCACCTATCTTGTCTACCCGTCGAATTCCTCGTAGGATTATATTTACATCAGCTCCTCCTTGTACACGCGTTCAATAGGTGAATAAATGTCTCAACCGAGATACTGCCGTGTGAACAATCGCTAAATCCTCGTCATTTATTTTGATTTGCAGCATATATGCATACGCATATTTTGAAGTTTTCATTTATGTTTTGAAGATTCAAGTTTCACCAAAATGCTAATTTTCGCCATGAAATTTCTTTGCTTATAATGTGTTGAAATATTCTAATCTTTTAATTTACCTTAATCGACAATATTCCAACCCCCTTAACTTATTGACCCTTTGAGTTCTGCCTTCGACCTCTAGGGGACGATCACGAGAACTTTTTTTACTCCTGATCTATGCAGTTCCTCGAAATTTGCATTTGAAAACAAAAAAGCCTTTTATCGTGTGCAGGATGGTGTGAACTTCGTGTCTTGGGCTTTTGATAAGTTCATCCTGGTGATGGTGACTTACTTTGTGGTGAGCATCGTCAACTCTTTGGCCCAGAGCTACCACAAGCGCCTCAGTAAAGCAAGCGGTGGCAGCGCCAGCAAAAGGAAAAACGTTCCCGAGACGTCGGCCGTGCCTGCGGCTAGTAGACCCAGCAAAGCCAAGCACGCTAAGGATTGATAGCTAATGATTATGATAGATAATTTTGATTTAGGCGCCTTGTCAATATCCAGTGCACTCGTCATCATCGGCTCACAAAATGTGTCACCTTCTGTACCTAAGCTTTTTTCGCCCGTGTTTAATTTAATTCATTGGTTTTATTTCGTTTAGATTATTTAATAAAGAAATTATAGATGCACATACAACTGACAGCGCTCCACATTTTTTTGCGCCTCGACCTCGTCTTGTAGAGTACAGTAGCGAGTTGCGTATTTTTTTGTCATTATCGCTCGTGAAAGAATTTTTCAGGTAGGCGACGATAAATATTTTTTTAATCCATTTGTATTTCATTAAATCTCATTTGTATTGTACAAACTGTTCTCTGACAAGAATTTTTTTGGTTGATCGTGGTGTGTGAACAGTTTGGTGCTGCTTCTCCACTCCGTAACATTTTTCACGTGTATGCCGCTAGTTGTAAGTCGTTGATACCTTAAGATTTGTACTACTGACACATTGAATTGAGGGCTCTGTTGTTCTTGTGAAACTTGAGATTAGTATAATCAAGCATCATTTATGAACGGCACTGTGGGTGGGAATAAGTGTTTACGTACGTATTCATTCAACTTGTAATATTAATTCTCACAGTTAAATACGATATGTCACGTATGAAGTAGTGGTATGGATATTGCACTGATGATTATAAATGGTTCTTCTAACATGCTTCAAATTTGTGAAATTTACCTTCTCGAATTTCTAACTAAAATGACACTCGAAATTAATTTATTCTTCGTTTTGCGTACTGAGAGATTTGGAGGCTGAATTAAAATGGTCTGGTTTTAAAGTTTTGTGGTCATGAAAAGGGACTGTCGTAGTTTTGCCGTGATTCAAACTCTCTTTCAAATTGTGAAATTAAGGCAGGTGTTTGTGAGTCATGAGTTTCCTGTGTCTTCATTCAGTTTGTATCGCACATTTATCTGACGAATACACAAAGGAAACGGCAATGACATGAGCGCCTTCTTATCTTCTGGAAATGTCTTGCTTAACGCGATGCGTTGATCATCAAGTAACATTCAGATCGCTCTGCATTGCTCAAGCTTCATCAGTGCAAAGGACAAGTCATACCTGAACCTGAATATTTCGGACTAGTGTGCTGGAAAGGAGGTTCTCTTCCTTGCAAGTTTTATGTTATTTCATGGCAAGCCTTAATATTTTCAGGCGGAATTTATGGTGTTCGGTTTCAGGCTAACTTTTTATTTATTGTAACCCTTCCATTTATTTCTTATCTTAGTTTAAAGAAATAAGTACGAATTCGCTCGGAACTGTTCAGTAGGTTATGAGCTTTGATCTAGAGATCAGGTTTTGTCGTAACACAAGCACCAATGTTTCTGTATTACTTGACAAGAATCAATTTTCGTTCGCTGAATTCCTGGCGAGATTGATACAGATGACACCAGTGTAATGTCAAAATTACAGAATCTTCCGTCTGCGGATGCGTTGAACTTGTTGTCATGTTGTTGTGCTGTCAATTCCCAACATTGGCGTTTGGATGATGTCTATGATTTGTTATTCCCCTGGGCCCATACTTTCAAAAAAAGTTAAGAGATCGTAAGTTCATCAGCCAATCATTGACGGCCTTTCAAGCAACATCCACCAGTCATAGAAAAGAAAATAGAGCGTAAGTACATACGTTCACTTGGCGAGTTTTGAAAGTATGGCCCCTGGTGTGTTCTCGACCTAAATTTGGTGTAACTGCAATTGGTCCAGGCTCAATTTGTAGTGAGGATGGGGCTTAGCCAATGTCATATTTTAAATTTTCTGACATGGCCGTGGGTCGACCTTGTACGTTTTTTGGCCGCGGATTGACCTTGCACGAAACGGTGTTCAGCTTTGCTTTGGGTCAAGAAAGGACTGTCTGTTTCTTTACATTAGCGGATCTATAAATTTGGTGATCAGGCTTCAAATGGTACATCATTTCTTTCTTCATTTTGTTAGCGACGAATGACAGTAGTTAAGGATAGCCTTGGGTAGTTTGGTGATCATAATATCTATAATTAGCTACACATCAGAGCTTCCTGGGAGTCACACGTAGACCTGATCACGGTCTATTGGTAATTAATGTAGTGCAAGTTAGAGCTCTTAAATACGAGCGCCATCAGTTTTTTCTTACAGCCTCTTAGTCTCACTGCTTCTGTTAGCTATCTCTGTACCTTGCAGATATTTTAGATCAATTTATTTTTTCCTAATGTTTCTACGGTTTATGTCATGGTAACTCCATTCATTTGGACAAAATTGAACGTTCTCTGCCTCATACCTGTGATGTATTCTAGCTAGCTGGTATTAGACAAATTCTCGTGGATTATTTTACGACTCGTGTCAACCTAAACCTGCAAACTAAGAAGTTAGTTGTGTAGTTGTAGGATTGTGATTCATTTTCAATGTCAATGAGAGAGTGTCCTTTAACTTCTACATCTGACGATATTTAACATTTTGTATAGCTTCACCTTGAACTCCCGTCTCGCTGGGCTGCTCGAGACACTGACTCATACTTGTTCCAGGTTAATTAGATCAATTAGATTTGAAGTTATGGTATTGACAATTTAGTAGGTAATAGCACATGTTTTTCTATTCTAGCAAAACATGCATCTTTATATGATAAAAATACAGTGACACGCTTATACATATTTCTATTGGCCTATAGTAGCTCTTCTTTTGTCTCAAGTGGCCTCGTTAGACAGTTTTGCTTCATAGTTTCACGTTTCCTCTTGTTACTGATTTGATCTGACATTTGCTCATCGTTGACCATAAGTCAACCGCACACGGAAATCAAATTTGCATTTCGTGTGACGTATAAGTTGGCGAAATGGCTGCGATGCTCTCATGAACTCAGCCGATGAACTGTGATAACATTTCAAGTCTCTTTTTGCTATTATTTTAACCAGTAACTACAATACCACTGCGGTACTAATAACCGGCTTTTATGTTCAGTCCATGTTCCAGTATTCGTTACCTCGCTCGTGTCATTTGTTCGAGGATTAAGATATTTATGATGTAAGTGTACACTGTACAGGAATGCCTAATTAGGATGTGTATGACGTACACTGTACAGGTATGCCTAATTAGGATGTGTATGACGTATGACGTACACTGTACAGGTTTGCCTAGACCCTTCACAAGCAGCGGTGTGTACGTCGCTGGTCGCTAGTCCCTCGTGTACAATTGTGTGATTGTAAATGCCCCGTCGGTATCACTCTTTGGGATTCATTTCTTGACAAATTGTTCACCTTCTTTTGTACATGCCGCGTCGCCCATTGTATTTATTTTAAAATATTTAAGCGATGCTTTCTAGTTTCATTAACTTCATTTCTTGTCAAATGTATTGTCTCGGTTTACTTTTACGATACGACCACGCTTTTTTACGTTTTCTTTCGAAAGCCCTGTAAGAAACTAAGATGTGTCGGAAGAATTAGCCAGATTTGCAGGGTGATTTGCAAGCGCATGCTAGCCTAGATCAATCAAATCATGAATCAAATCGTCTGACAAAATTCAGCCTCGCGTCTCGTCTGCTGAAAGCATTCGCTCTATGTGTGGTTGTAACTGGTTAGAGTTGATTCGTTTAGATTCCTTTACTCAGTATATTATTGTATTCATACATTTATGAAAAAGTTCATACACATGAAAAAGTTTACAAGAAAAGTTTACGTACTCGAAGTAGCGTTACAGAAATATAGTACGTAGGTACGGAGTTAACCAGTCTATACATCGAAAGCCAGGGCTTTGCCTGATACAAATCTGCTGGTGGTTGGTCCCACTTGAGTTTGATATGTACAAAAACTAGTCCTAAATTGGCGTATCTCAAGAATACTTGGTCCTCAATGGTAGACATGCATTGCAGGAAGGCTACTGCTAGTTTTGTAGGCGAGAAGTTGGTCCTGTATTTACGATTATAAATATCAAAATATGATTATGAATAACGCTTATAAAAATTAAATAAGAACCTTGCAAAGGCCATTTCAGTTATCTTCACACATTTAGTTCTGTTCATGTATCGTCGCTGTAAAACCAAGAGTTCAATATACGCCGAGGGGCTGCTTTGACTATGGAAGTCGTTATTGGGTTTAGATTTCAAGCTGGCAGTTTCCGATACTCCAACATCATTTCGAGGCTAGAGAGTGGCGTTTAATTACCTTTGAACCCAAATAGCGGGCAATAAAGCCTTGCGGTGAGGTAGACTTGTTTTGGATTAATTTTCCTTTCTGTTAATGTATCGTTATTAAAAATAGGTCGCCAGTTTATTTGAGTAATGCTAGGGGTTGGACTTGTCTGGGTTTGCGTTGAGAGACATCATCTCCAAGCCGACGGCACCTCGCATGGTCTTCGCGTGCTCGTCGGTGTGTATGAGGTATTTTTCTGGAGAGGAAAAAACGCAACGTTAACACCATAGTGCGACAAACAATCCTTAGGTTAATCACTTTTACTAATGATTATAATTATTGCAGGAAGGCTACTGTACCTCAGAAAACAATACTTCAAAAATGAATCATTAAAATGAGAGAGTTGTGTTATGATAAATTAAGTCATAGAACCGAATGATGCTGGCAAGTAAATCAAATACGCGATGGTGCACAGGCTAGCAACTATGGTAAGCAGAAAAACAAACTACTACCTCTCTAAAATAAATTAGGTTAGCGAATATTTCTTAATGAAATAATGGTCGAGAAGCTTATGGGGCAACTACGCTGAATGCCGTAGTTTTTTTTCGACTTGATGAATAGAATGACGACAGTGAGCGACGAAAAATATTTTCCTAATTCGCATTATATTTTGTGAAGATTGAATAGGCATGATCTCACGTGATATAGACACGAGTAGAAGGCCCCAGGCGATGGCCCAGGTTATATAGGCATGATCTCACGTGATATAGACACGAGTAGGAGGCCCCAGGCGATGGCCCAGGTTATATAGGCATGATCTCACGTGATATAGACACGAGTAGAAGGCCCCAGGCGATGGCCCAGAACCAGCCGACGAGGAAGAAGCAGACTGTGGCGAGCTGGGCCAGCCCCGTGGCGCTGGTGATGAGCACCGACATGGCTTGGTTGCGCGGCGTCTCAATGGCCGCCAGGCGGTTGCGCCCTACGCACAGTCCAAGCCACCCGCTCAAAATTGTGCCTGTCGAGCACAGCTTATTTGAATGTTTAAAGCGTAGCTCATAACATTATAGTAAATATCACGGTATAATTGATGTGATTGTGAAGGTGAAGGTTAAAATGAAGGTATATGATCCCTAAATAACTATTTAACCATATGATGGCGTCTGCCATGTAAAGTAGATGTGAATGTTCACGGTGGAACGTCATGATTAATGTGCCTAAGAGTAATGATAACTAAATAACTTTTCCACCATGCTTGTCGAGTACAGTTGAGGTAAATGTTTAAATCGAGGGTCATGATTAATGGTACCTTACATATCTGATACATAAATACAGAATTACAGTTCTACCATGATGGTGCCTGCAGAATATAGTTGATATCGATTATGATCATTACACACTTAAGATTACTATGACATCTAGACCTCATTGTTGCATTAGCAACACTTCCGTTTTTGGGCCGATGTGCGATCGAAACTTGTTGTAAATTAAAATATATTTACGTTGTTTCCATTCGAGGAACACCGATGTATTTAAACTTGTAATTTTGCCCGAATTACCACTAACATCGAGAACTTTCAAATATAATTCCTGAAAAAAAGTTTTGCGTACCAAGTCCCGGAAGGCAGACGTTGAGGCAGAGGCAGAGGGAGGCGAAGGAGGGCGGCAGCACAGGCAGGGCTCCCCGTAGCTTGGACGTGGGCTCCACCAGCGTCGCCGGCAGCGGCAGGCGTTCCACCTCCTGGTCCGGTGCATCTCATGTTTAGTTCAGCAATGCTCAAATTTTGTGCGTGATACTAGTAAGTAATTTCAAAATTATCATATCTCTTTTTTGGGTGCTCGTGTTTCGCAAATTATTCATATATTTATTTAATTTCATTATTACGAAAATAAAAAAAAATGTTATAAACAATTATTTTATAACTGAATATGTTATAAACAATTATTAATTCCAAGCTTTGAGAACAATTAACGTTTTTATTGTCAATTATCTTTAATGAACTAAATAAAAATTGAGAAATTATCAAATATGAGATGCGGTTTGCATTGCGGCTATAAACTTTGAACTGGCTTGACTGCAGAGATGAAAATAATTTTTTTCGATATTGCCCCAAAACGCTCTGCATCATCAAACTTCACGAGTAATTAAACGCACATAGAGCGACAGAATATAAAGTAAAATTAGTTATTTTTTTCCATAATATTATTTAATGTCTATAAGTATTTGCGTTATTGCAGTATGCATCTGCTTGCTCCAAAATTAGCATCAAGCCGTCGTTTCGCGCAGCTAAAAGGGAAGTGAAACCTCATTAAAAAAACATTCGACGATCTCAACAATATATGACGATATGAACAATATAAGACGATCTGAACAATATAAGACGATCTGAACAATATATGACGATCTGAACAATATATGACGATCTGAACAATATATGACGATCTGAACAATATATGACGATATGAACAATATATGACGATCTGAACAATATAAGACGATCTGCACAATATAAGTGCCCACTAACCAGTGCAGCTCGTCTCCCTAAAGACGTGTTGGCGGCCGCCCTGTTGAAGACTCCTTGCATCAAGACGATGGGGACTCTGGGGTCCTTTTTGTTGGTCCCCGCAATTGGGGGTCCCGGGCCCCCCGAGTCCGCACTGCTGTCCGTCAGAAGACCGGCGTTGGCAGGAGGACCGCTTGTGTGTCTGGTGTGTGTGCCAGCGACATTGGTATCGCAATAATTTATATTTTATTTCTGCAAGTTTTATTATCAGCATTTGTGTTCATTTGTGTTAATACCGAAACTAATATGCAATCGAAATATATATAATATGAAAGTAAGGACAATTTTTCCATTGATATATTGGGTTTTTTAAATGTTGTCATAATTTGAATACGGACTCCATTTGGCAAGCCGCTAGAATAAAAAAATATCTACTTCATGCAAATGATTTTGCAGCGCTCTCCTTAGCAGTGCCTCTAGGCGTTGTAAATAAACCAATTTAAACTGTCTCAATACCCCCTTCTTCTACTACTTTTTATATTCAAATAAAGCGTGTCGCGTTGCAAGCTTAAAACTTCTTTTCTCTCCGCAAACTACTAAGCAGATAGAGTATTTTTTTGCGCAAGCACAGCAATTAAGTTTCATTCTCAAAGAATTCTATGCATAATTTGTATCATGAAATATAAGGTGACTAAACGAATGTAATTTAATGTAATTCCATTTTTGATTTAGAATTTTGGGGAGAGAATAAAATTGTTCAAGTAAAGCATAGCAGTTTTTTCAGCATGGAGACAATTACTGCGCATACTACACGGTGATCAAATTCAAGAAGCTTCGGAAAAACAAAGCGATGTTGCTTTGACACAAATAAGACGATTCAGTATGTGCACGGGACGTAACACGATGATTTGAAGACGATGCACTATCTGCACGGGACATAACACGATGATTTGAAGACGATGCACTATCTGCACGGGACATAACACGATGATTTGAAGACGATGCACTATCTGCAGAAGACGTAACACAAGCACGGAGCGTAACATTTGTATTTTGGCAACAACTCTAAAGAAATATTAATTGATTTGAGGATCACTAGATCGCACGTGAAGTGCACCCTAGACACCATTCTTACTGCCGTGTTCCACACAAGTGAGACTAAGGAACGAAGATGACGCTTGCTAATGCAGGAACATGAGATATGAAGCATGTATTTTGGTTACTTATTAACATCAGACAGCACGTTGACGGTAATGCTCGTCATGTCGTCCTGCTCTCTCGGCTGCTCTTCCTCCAGCTCAGGAACGTCAGGCAACGTAAGAAACGTCGCTGCTTCGTCCGTGGAATGAGTGACGACGCCGTGCAGCGCGTCTGGGGGTGTCACTGTGACGTTACTATTTTCCAATTGACGCATTTTCACGTTATTCCTGTGCACGTGCTCAGACACGCGACGCACTTTGCGGCGTTTCGACGTCACAGCTCGACGCGTCGCCGATTGACGTCGTGAACTTGAAGGCCAAACAACGAGAGAGGTAACAGTGAAATTTTACTATTGTGGTGAAATGTATGAAAAAAATTGCATTATAATTTAGTAAAATAATATAAATACAAAAGTAATAATAATTTTTTGCTGTTTATGTACCTTTTTTTCCATAACGGCTCCAAAACTTTGCACCAATTGCCACTCACAGGTCTTCAAAATTTATCTTCTACATTAAATGGTCTCCGCGCTAGCGGAAAATTTCCCCTCCCTATCTCCGCAAGTTCAAATTTTTAACTTTGCAGAGACAGTATATTTTGAGACATGAATATTTTGTTTCAATCAGGTTTTTCACAAGGAGTTTATGTTATTGAGATATTTATGAATATTTTGAATATTTAATTGCTATAACAAACTTGTAAAAGTTGCAGTATTTTTTACAATGAATATTGAGCCATTCCTATTTTCATTTAAGTCGAGTTACGAATATAGTGCATTTCCAAATAGGGCTCAAAATAACTTTACAACATTCTGATGGAAAAACTTGAGTGATGAGGTTAAGAAACGTTGAATTTTTTTACCCATTTAAAGTTCAATGGAGAATGTAGCCTTAGCCATGATTGAAGTTAACCAAATTGGGACATATGAATAAATTTTAAATAAATTTGGCGATTTGATGATATAACTAAAAATTTCAATGAACCATTGTATTTATGGAAATAGTTGATGCTTTGCATTGTTTAGTAACTGAATGTCCTTTTTGAATTTTTCCGTGTTGTCGCACATGTGAAATCAATTAATGAGTTTCAATAGTTTAGTACATAACGAGTGCAATTTTAACATATACTTGAAATCATAATCACTCCGTCTCAAGTGGCAATGTGGTATTCACACTTCTCATTATTGCGAAAAACGGGTATTATGTAACATTTATATAACCAGAACTCTACAATAGTCTAACATTTATCTATTATCAACAGGTTCTTTGCGCCGAAAAAAAGCTTTCCGGCAAAACGCGAAGGACAACATAAAGAGCTGATCCCACGATAGAAGGCGCAATGAAACTCCACGGATCATCGGACCAGACTTTCACGGCACGACTTTAACTAACTCGGAACTGAGCACAAGCTTAATAAGAATACCTAATTTCTGCAGAGTAAACAGCAGCACAAAAATTGAATGACCTTCAGTGCCACCAAAGTGTCTCGTATATGGTCCTTCGTTGCTCAAACTTTGTTGACTGATGAGCCTGCTGACCTTGGTAACAATGTTGGCTGCACTGAGCAATGCCATCGCAACCTATAGATGTCAACGGCACATGGTTCAAGGTCGGGATGTCAACTTCTGCATGGGCAAATATACTCAAATGGCATTCTCAGGACCATTGTAGCAGATTTAAAATTGTTTTCAATTCATTTCCTGCTTCAAGGGCTTCCAGGCACACCCTTCATGGGCCTCGTGGCTGTGCTCAGGCGAGAAGGTGATGCCGCTCAAAAGCTTTCCTGAAAAACTCGCCAACTGTTTGATCAAAAATATCATGCGCATCGGCTGCATGATAATACAATCATATCAACTATATAATGTGGTTATATAGATTCCTAACAAAATGTATTATTGATACGAAGTCACGTCAACACCCTCGGTCAATTTGAAGAATCACTTGTATTCCGGAAAGGATCCTCAATGATAACAAAATATTAACTAAACCTAAATCCGAGAAAAGCATTACGTATTTAATTCGTAAATCGTGGCGGGTTCAACGCGGTAGACGTTCTGGCGATCACGGCACTTCTTCACCAGAGTTGCTCGTTTTATTTTTATTAACTATTTTTCAATAGTTAATAAAAAAATAAAAAGTAAAATAAAATAGTTAATAATAGTTAACTACTCAACATCAGATTGTCTTGTAACTATTCGAAACTGTAGCCACAACGCCTCCTCCTTGTACTCGCAGCGCGCCTTCAAATTAAAACAATTCATTTATATAGTGAGCTAATAACCTATGTGGTAAATTAATTAAAATGCAAAAAATACACTAAATTAGCGTCTAATACTGCAGTTGTACTTGGTGGTACGCGATGACTGTACGAGACCTCCAAGTTGTACTCGAACTCAAAAAGGTCGGGTACGACAACTGCGTTAGAGCAAATCTCAGCACGTGCAATTAACAGGACCTGCTGCACCGCCGAGCGATCAATGCTAACGGGGTCGCTGTCGGGTCACGCCTGGCCTCCTTCGAAGTATAACCGTTCTACGAGGTGTGCGATATGTCGGTCACCCAGGCTGATAGAGGCTGTCCAGAAATAGACCTAATCGTAATACCCGTTTCGCTGCAGGATCATCTTTGCCGATGAATCAAGTGAACTAAAGTTTTTACAGTTCAGGGCGAAATAACTGTACACTAATTTTCATCATGCTAAAATTAATTTTTGTCTGTTAAGGTCATAGATGAATAAATCTCAGAATCCCGGTACAGTCTCTTCTTAAAAAAACGAATACGCATAAATTATTTTATTTCTACGGAAGTCACGAGCTTGTTGCAGAAAATGAAATTAAACTTGAGCATTTTATAATTTGTTTTGCGTGATTTGCAATAATCTGTGCGAAACTTAATAGTCTTCTCTCAATCGTCGGAATTCCATCTCCAGGAGCGGCCGTTATTAATTAAAGACAGAGCGCGGTGCATACACTCATCGCCATGCAGTGTTCAAGGTCTTGCCTTTTAGCAAATTAAGGCGACTGCTTTTTGCAGAGCTTCCTGCTTTTTAGCGGAAATTCGCGAAAATAAGCGAATGATGAACGACTTTGGTGAGTGCAGTAGTGTGAGGCCAAGCTGCCATGAAAGTGTCCACAAGGATTCTTTATGCGTCGATAACCTTTTATGAATCACAATAGTAAATAAATAAGATCAGATACAACTAAATTCAAGTTGAATTCCACTAGCAGACAAGTTTACATTCTCGATAACATTTTGCGAGTCAAAAAACCTCCAAAAATTTTATTCGTACACTTTTAGTTTTAGGTCTGCATCTACCATTATTAAAATTTCTTCTGAAATAACGATAGATTTGTACTTGGAGTAAAGTCGTTCAGAACATAAAAGCTCATTAATTTCTTGTGCCATCGCATACCTGGCACTTATTATTGCTGAACTTAATATAAAAAATTTGTCTTCCCATAACATTCACTTCACCATTCGAATCACGAATTGGTTCAATCTCATGCAAACATCCCTCTGTAATCCGACTATAATTAAACACAACAACCATCAATACTGACATGGGGGGCATGGTGATGGCCGTGTCCTCAGCGGTAGACCGTTGCGGGAAGGCAGGACGGGGGAATCTGGGGAGACTCGGTAAGGCCATGGGGAACTTGCGACCCCACACTCCCTGAGGCGCTGGGTCTGGAACACGGTCGGTGCGCTCTGGGACTGTGATGTGGGAGCTATGGGAAGGAAGCAAGGGGGAGGCCATGTCCTCAGAGGTAGACAGTTTAGGGACAGCGGGAGGGTGAGGAAATCGAGAGGAGCTTGGTAAGGCCAGAGGGAAGTTACGACCTCCCATTCCTTGAGGTGATGGCTCTGGCACGCGGCTGGGGGGGTCTGGGGCTGTGATGTGGGATCTCCCGTTCTGGGATCCAGGCAAATAAGGACAATAGGTTAATGCTTGGAAGACACGTCATATCGATGTCGTTAAACATTAATGATTAAATTAGCGTTTACTTCACATTTTTACCAATAATGAAGTTAAACCTTTACTCATACAAAAACTATTAGCTCAATAAGAACGGAATATAAGCTGTACAAGATCTTCAATGATCAGGAGCATTCACTCACCTCTTCGGCTTGGCGTCTTGTCAGTCCACTGTGGAGGCGTCCGAAGAATTGTCCTCTGTTCTCGTTGGCCATGGTGTTCAGAGCCATCGCATCCAGTCGAACTTGGTTGGGTTGTGGAGGTAATGAGGGCTGCAATATTTGTTGTGCGGAGCCTCTGGCATACCGGGGTATTTCGTTGACTGAGGGAATGGTGCCTGGTCGAAAATGGACCGGCCGAACGGCTGTCGGGTCCGTGGGGTACTGCTGATTTGGTGGACCACGCAATATGGACTTGGGAGTCCCATCAGGACCCAGGTTTGTCAGTTTTCGGCCGAAGATGTTCTTGTTTCTGAAAGCAGTTGCGGCTACGTTTTGGAAGCCACTCAATTTACCTTCAGTTGCGAATTTCGCCCTTTTTGTCACGGATTTGTTATTAGTTAAGGTTTTAGAGTTTTCTTTTACTCGTTTCGCTAAATCTGTCAATGTCAGGCGAACTTTCTTTTTCGTTTTTGGTTTAGCTGATCTTGCGCCAATATTTTTCCGAGGCTGAATTGATTTGTTTTTAGGCGTTTTTCTTCCAGCTAGCTCGTCACTTCTGCGACTGAATCCAAACCTCGACTTTCTTTCTTGAGCCTTTGTTGCAGATTTTTTTTTATTCTTTTCTTTTTCAGCTGCTGCTTTAGCTTCTTTCTTTTCCAAAGAGGATTTTCGCAAAGTGGCTAAAAAACCTTTAGCATTCTCTGTTTTCTTTTTCTCTCTTGCGTATATCTCTCTGGGATCGCCGTAAACAAGCCCAACTTCTTCGGCGATGAGTATCCGGTCTCGATTTTTAGGGTCTTGTATGAAGATTTGGTTCGATGAATTCGTTCTTGACAGCTGATGAGGATATTTCCTTGGAACTAAGTTCTCAAATTCTGGCCGAGATCTACCTTGATCTCGATTTCTTATCGGTCCCATGCGCGTCGGGTATTGCCTCTGACCTCCGAAAAGATAACGGAAAGGATTCCATTTTTGAAACCAGGCACCCAGGCTCATTCGGTATGGCTGGTAGCGATACCCACCCCGATAATCGTTATTGTATGTTACCTGATTCACATTTTGATACCCCCTAGAATGTTTAAGGGTGTTGTAATGTTGCGGCAGATCAAATGCTTGAGTACTGCCATTGACTCCTCTAATAGGCATCGTGCCTGCTCGAGAGGGATACGGTTCACCTAGAAGAATGTTTTCCTCAAAATGTGAATCTAACGGCCTGTACGCCAGCTGGGATATTCTTGAATTTACTGCATTATCACTGAGGTCACGGTATTGTTCTGAGGTCTTCAGTGCTGCTGCTTCATTTCTCTTGAATTTATCAGCCACATTTTTTACAAGATCCAAATTAAAACTTGTCTTTCTCTGCAAAGGTTCTGCCGGTTCACATTCTACCTTAAGTTCGTACTTCTTCGGATTAGACTTGCGCCTCGTGCTGAGGCTACGAGTGCGCTTAGTCATGGTTTCTTTTTGCGGTGTTTTCATACTAACTTCACTCAGGCTTCGACTCAAAGGCTCTTTCAATCTGGGCTTCGAAGAACGAACACTTCGGCTTCTGCTCTCCCGTGCAGTAGTGCTGCGGCGAGTCAGCGGGCTTCTCCTGCTCACAGATCGAGCAGTGCTGCTTCGTTTTGACCGCTCTGGACTTGGACTTGATTTTCGGAATGGTTTTGGTCTCCGACTAGTATTACTAGAACTCCTATGAGAGATTAGAGGTCGTGTTCTTGGGTTTTTAAGAACTGGAGCAGTGGCGAGACCAGCTCGTTTTGCCTTTGCAGATGGAACAGATTTTGGTGTTCTTAGTTTCCGAGCTATTTTCGGGGTTTCAGCTCTGGCTGGATTTTGATCTCGTTCTATGGATCGACTTAGACTCCTTTCTCGAGAAATGTTCTCTCGGCGTTTGGAAATATTTTCGAGACTTATTTTACGGGCTTTCTTCCTGCGAAGACTAGCGATGCTTGGCTGAGGACTTGTTGAAAGTGCCCGTATCTTCGGAACATATTTTTTTTCAAGTGACCTTCTCCGACTCAACCGACTGTCAGTTATGCCTGTGCGACTTCTATCAGCTAAACTAATTAGACTTCCACTCAAATTATTTCTGCTATTGTTTAAGCTCACTCTACTTCCTGCTAAGCTATTATGTTTGCTAACTGAGCCAACGCGACTGTTATATAAACTTCTGCCAGGCAGGTACACTAACTCCTTTTCCCCTTTGGTTATTCGCGCAGAAGCAGGAACATGTGGGGTGTTTTTTCTTCCAGGAAAGAGACTATTTGGACGCGCTGAATTGGATTTCTTTTGTAATAGTTTGACTTCTCTATTTATTTGAGTTAATTCAGATTTTTTAGCTTGAACGGTCTTCTCAAGTGTATTAGCGTCAGATTTAGAATATTCTAAAATTTGAGGTCCTGCCGAATGTTCAGGACTAGATTTATCCAAGCGAACACAGCTACTTTCATTTTTTTCTAACTCATGTGAAGGAACGTCTCTCCCACCAACTTCATGATTTGTAGTGTCGTGGTGAGATATTTGACCTTCATATATGGAAAATTTTGCTTGAATCTCTGACTTCAAACTTGCATTTACTCTTTGATCATTTGATGACTTTGAGGCGATTTGGGAAAGCAATAGGTTCTCAGTGCTTTCTTTTATTTCTGCGTCACTTCGTCCTAATTTCACAGTCCACTCACTATTTTTAACGTCTAAGCTGGGCATGCGGTCTCCATCTAGAGTTTTGGACTCGGGGTTTCCTTCTAATGATTTGGGCTTGCGGTCTCCTTCTTCTTGAGATTTGGGCTTGCGCTCTTCTTCTAGAGATTTGGGCCTGCGGTCTCCTTCTTCTTGAGATTTGGGCTTGCGATCTTCTTCTAGAGATTTGGGCTTGCGGTCTTCTTGAGATTTGGGCTTGAAGTCTTCTTCTACAGATTTGGGCTTGCGGTCTTCTTCTAGAGACTTGGGCCTGCGGTCTCCTTCTTGAGATTTGGGCTTGAAGTCTTCTACAACAGATTTGGGCTTGATGTCTTCTTCTAGAAATTCTTGCTTGCGGTCTTCTTTTAGAGATTTGGGCTTGCACCCTTCTAGAGATTTGGGTAGTATCTGTGAGCTGAATGATGTTGGAAGAACTCGCAGCTGCTCCGCATTCTTAGGGCTCTTTAGAGGAACAACAATCACAGTTTTACTCTCTAAGTCGCTATCTTCTTCATCCGATATCGAACAGGCCTGTTTTTTCACATTAGTCTTGAGATTAAATGAAACACTTTTCACAGGAACTGTATCTAACTTTTCATTGCGATTTTTATTTGGAACTCTTATCGAGGATTTAAGGTCCGGCTTATAGTAATGAGTAACACTTTTTACAGAGCGGGTAGAGCGAGCTGAAAGCGTTTTTTCTCGATTCCGTGGTTGGATAGGCAATTCAGCCACAGACGGACTTCGAAAATAAATTTGGCTTTTGGAATAACTTGGCTCCTCAATATTATTCAGCGAAGGCTCTGATACATCTAGTGGTAAATGAGTATCGGATATTGTTCTTGCAAAAAGCCGCTTTGGCGACTTAATAGCTATTAAAGGAGTTTCATTGATTGGAATTATTGGCGAATTTTCAGGCACAGGCGTGTAAATATGAGTTGCATTTGCAGTTTCTCTTATTGATTGAGCTGACGATTTTCTGCTAGTAGGATTCGAGATAGATTTCGAGTTTTTAGCGATGATCCTTCTTGGTAAAGCCTCGTTTGGATTTTTATCAGCTTTTTCGGAAATTTGATTTAATTTTACAGGTGATGAAAGAGAACGTCTGCTTGGAGGTCTAATAAATTTATCAATCACCTCTTTATGGTCATTTTCAATAACTCTCACAGCAGACGGCAAATCTTCCAGCGTGGGTGTCTCCTTTTGGTCTTTGTTAAACGTTTGCACGTGTTGGTTAGCTGAGCCGGTAGAAGTCAAATTAAAAATGGGAGGAGATTCTTTGTTATGAGAGTGCAATGTTGGACTGTTTGGTTCAAATACTGGTACTTGCAGTCTATTCGGGCTCTTGATCTTGCGAACATTATTTGGCGGGTTTACGATGACTTGAGTTCGAGTTTGGTCTTGTTTTTCTTCGAGTTCATTCAGATGCTTTTCAACTTCTCTACCATCATTTATTGCTACTTCACTCGAGGTATCAGAAGCCGTAGCTGCACTAAGGATTGCAGCGCTGCTTTGCCCTTCGGTTAAGTGGTGGCTCATTGATTGCTCTGGCGTTTCGTGAGTCGCCGTCCCTGATTGGCTGGTCTTTACACCAACTGTTTGACCTCTCACGCTATTGGTTGTTAGCTGACCCAAGGATATGCCCGGAGTCGATTGATTAATGGTGGACTCATCGCAGGTATCATCTTTGTGTGAGTTCATACCAGCTAGCAAGCTCTGTAGGTCATCAATACTTTCACGACTACTATTTTCAACTGGTGTGACTGACGGACAGATTTCCTCTGGCTGGAATTGAAATTCATTTGCGTAATTGATTGTTCCATCCGGGATGTTAAGACCTAGTTTTTCATGCTTTAACTCAGCCAGTAATTTCCGCAGTTCATAAATTTCCTTCAAAGTCCTATTGATGCCTTCATGGGCATCTTCGAATGACATTTCTTCCGAAGAGAACTCATTATTTTCTCCGGATTCATTATTTTCTCTATGAACGATGACATCAGAAATTACCAAACTTCCATCCGATGATTGGAGTTTCTCCAAATCTTCTTCCGCCATATCCACAAACCTCACTTTCGGCTTCACTGGAGACAACTGAACTTCAGTTTTTTCGGTTTCCATCTCAACTTCGAGGATGGATTCCTTCAGAATGAACTTGGGAGATGATAGGACTGGTCGATCACCGTCAAATTTTAACGAAAATTGAACTGTGACGTTTTCCTCATCTGGTTCAACTTCATCAAACTCAAGTGTTGAATTGGAGTCGTTCGAGCAAGAACCAGCCGACCAAGAGTCGTCATGAGAGTCGAGTGACGCTTGATTGTTGTTCTCAGTCCCTCCCTCGACAGAGGCTGGTCGGGAATCATTTCGGCTCTTCGAGTAGCACCTTGTGGGAGTATGATTATACTTGAGTTGGCGATTCCCGAAACGATGTTCAATATTACTGTCTGTCTTCCAACTGCTTTCAGGAAGCTCTTGGTTTTTATCAGAATTCGAAGGATTTTCACTTGCGTTGTTGTGGTTACTGGAGCAATCATCAAATTTGTAGTGCGCCACCGAATGATCGTAACTGCAGGAGTAATCATTGTTCACGGAACACACTTGATGAAAACTGCAGTGATGTTTGTGAGCCGGAGAAAATGCAAGCTGCTCATGCAGTTCACCGTCGCAATCAGTGTTCAATGGACAGTTAACTTTTGTCGCAGAGGTACAAGGAGAATCTGTTGGGCTCTGGTCAAGTGAAGAGCGATCCTCTGGAAGACAAATTGTGATGCGGTCTCCAGAGGGACTAAGCGACCACCACAGGCATTTCTTCGGATCCTCACTTGGTCTGCTGGGCACGGATAATATTTCAAATTATTAAGATTATTATTATCATTTTTAATCGACATATTTAGTATTTATATACATTAAATTTTTGAGGCCGTATGAGTTTCTGGCTTATTTACATTATGAAAAACAGAAAGACACCATAATTCTGTTGACACTTCACGGACTCATTTATTTAGTAATAGAATAACGCTCAGTTTATGTAGAGTTTATCGCACAAGCTACATCCTCATTACAAATGCGATACAGTTACAATCGGACTTGTCATGCTTAACCCTAGAGCGCAGAGCAGACGAGATGCGCCTAGATATTGTTCGCGCTACACACACCTACCGAACGCGCGGCGCTGCACCAACTAACGCCTGAGCAACAGTGCCACCCAACGGACAGAGTTGGAACTCACTTGCACAGCGAGGCATTGCAGGCCGACTCATAGACACTGTTCTACGAGAATGATATACTCTCTCAATAATAACCCCAATATAATCATAACAAAATAACAAAACTAAAAAAATAATGACAATAATAACAAAACTCCATTATATTATAACTGCAGGATGAAATTACCAAGAGATGGCACATTAAATTGGTTTTGACTCTTAATTTCATTTTACGTATCGCTTTAAAATTAGCTTGCGAAAATTTATTTGAATTCCCAATAAGCCTAACGAATTTGTTTAGCAATAAAATCGAAGTGGTTTTGATAATATCGATAATTGTTTCAAGTGGAGATGTGAAGAATCTGTAAGGGATTCAAATGTGTAAGGGGTTCAAATATGTAAGGTTTCAAATATGTAAGGGGTTCAAATATGTAAGGCATTCAAACATGTAAGCGATTCAAACATGTAAGCGATTCAAACATGTAAGCGATTCAAACATGTAAGCGATTCAAACATGTGAGCGATTCAAACATGTAAGGGATTCAAATACGTAAGGGTTCAAATATGTGAGGCATTCAAACATGTAAGGGATTCAAACATTTAAGGCATTCAAACATGTATGGGATTAAAATATGTAAGGCTTCAAACATGTAAGGGATTCATAAATCTCTGGCACCCAGGTATAAAAATTATTAAAAATGAATTATTCTCTTCTAAATGAAATCCAGTTTCCAAAAAGTCATGCAATATTAATTATTAAAAATGATATTTCGAAGAATGTTAATATTTAACGGAACGTGAAATAAATATTGGCGTAAAGGTTTTATTTGTGCTCGTATGTACTCGCCGTTCAGTAGACATGCATGTCAATTATGTTGCTTTCAACTGTTAATCCAATACGGTTCCAGTTTCCTTACTTCAAGCTAAGAAGTTTACGAATATAAGAAGTTTACGAATATTAAAATTTCCCTGCACCCTTAGTTTGCCATAAATGAATCACGTCCGAAATTTATTACCCCTGTTGGAACTCGACTATAATGCGAATTAAAATACAGATTGCCTATCTTCCGTGCATATTGGAATGAGGATATTCGATATAGGAAATATATTAATTAACACTAGCATTTAATAGGTAATCGTTAATTTTTGTGATTATTTCTTAGCTTTGCGCTAGATTCTAAGTCGAAAATAAATAAATACACATTTTAATACTAAGCTCAAAAATTTGATGAGTGAACTAAATTTTTAAAATTGTATTCTCATGTCATTTCACCACAAGGCCATGTGGACAATCGAACGCTTTTGTTAAAAACTATCTCACGAATTTCATAGGCCATTAATTACCTTACTTTTACATCAACAGGTGAAGAAATATGTCGTGATGCCATTGTAAAAAAGTATAACGAAGAGTATCCAGTGTTTCTATGACGATCGTAGCTCTTGCCGAAATGAACCAACTTCTTCAATCTAGATTACAGTAGTAAGAAGTCGAGCGATGTACGGTGTAATAACAATGATCAACTGAGGAAAAGTTACTTAAAACATCATAAATACGTAATGTAAAAACAGAAATTTAAAACAATAATCTTTATTCACTGAAATAGTTCTAAGAATTCGAAAAATTATTCGTATGGAACCTTTACGTAAGAAGTAAACTTGTCTGTTGAATCGTGAGGAGAGTTAAACTTAATTATTTCAATCGAATTCTCTGAAAATTATACGGAGCAAATTCTTTGGCACACTTTCTCAAGTTTTCAAAACACCAAAACACTTGAAAAAAACTAATTTCACTGAAAAATGATTAAGTGTACCTCTTGAAAGACACTTCTCTGGCGATCTAAAGGAGCGTATTTCGTGGAGCATGTCGGGAGAGCAACTGGCCTCGAGGATCAGCAGAAGAGTAAGCCTACAGAAAACCAAGACATTTCCATGATCTGCCCTGAACATAGTATATTAGTGACTGTATGATGCCGTCTCGCAGAAATAACATTAGGCACCGAGGTTTGGTCCACTGAACCAGGTAAGTATGAATTAAAAATACTGCTCTAATATACATACATCACGTACGAGCCGAGCAATCATCATTGCAGAAAATATTCGTTTGGACATTTGTAGATATTCTGGAGTTTCCTGGAGACGTGCTGATCACCGTGTCCTTGTGACCCAAATCAAACACAACGATTTCCAAGAAAAATAATAATATTCTCGAAAAGTAACACGTAAAGAACGAATAACAAAGTCTAAATTAAAACACTCAAAGAAAAATTAAATTTCTTCAATGTCTAAAAATGTCAATATCACCATTTTTTCAAGCTATTGTGTGTAAACCTTATGAGATGTGATGTTTGTTCATGTTACCCTTGTTCTTAGATGTTACACGTAATTAAAATAATATCAATATTTGGAAACTTTATAGTTTGTACAAACATAAAGCGAAAACGAAGGGTTACTTTATAGTTCGCGACAAACTATACACACCTCTGTATGCCAGAACAAACGCTCAGTTTCATTATATGCATTTTCGTGCCAAGCAGAGACATTTATTTAGAACGAAATTTGAAACTAAAAGTTTGAAATGCAGTTCTGATAATCGTTGTCTGCATCTATAGCGGCATTATTCTCTAATATTTAGGAGTCAAATCTGTCAAGGAGAAAATTTACCTTGCGTATCTCATTCAGAGAATTACGGTAAATGTGCCACAGCTGTTCTAAAGCGTGGCAACGGCAAATTTCTAAATATTAGATGGATTATGGTGAAGTCTTTGTATTTAATTGTAGAGAAAAATGGCAGTGAATTTCGATAGTAGTATTTTTTTAGTCGCGGCATGTTAAAACTACGATGTGACAGAACAGAGTAGGGGATGTAACAGTGTTGCTCATTCATTTTTGTAAAATTATTATTGGCCCCTGAACATTTTCCATCGCCTCTTCAAAATCTGCCTCCATAAACCGCCTCCATATTTCTGACAATATTCATTGGGGTCAACAGCCACATTTATAACTTATACATTATGAATGAAATTTTATTAACGTGATTAGCTTCCAGTAATTGTTGGGTGACTCAATTGGTAACGTGCTTAAATGATGACTTTTTACCATACCAAATCCGGACATGTCTTGGACTCCATCTTGCTTCAGCAACGGTAAATTTTGCGAGCAGCTCTACTATTGTTATTTTCTTGTATAAATCAATCTTATAATGAGTAATTACTCGTCGGGAATTTACTGTCATTATTAATTTTGGCTGACAAAACATACTATCATTCATCAGTCAACCCATACGTATAAGGGCTTAACATATTCATGCATTCCTATACGAGTTTATCAATAAACTTTCGTTCTCATACCATTGATATTAAAAACTTTGCCTACATCTAACAACAGTCACATGGACTCATCACTATCACGACCACGTCATCATCACGTCACTAGTTACTATCACGACCACGTCACCATCACGTCACTAGTCACTATCACGACCACGTCACCATCACGTCACTAGTCACTATCACGANCAGGACTGGCATCATAGGCCCATGGTTTTTTGAAGAGAACGATAGGGCAGTTACAGTCACTTCTGAACGGTACATTCAGATGATTCAAGAGTTTTTCCTTCCAAAACTTGATGAACTTGGTGTAAGAAATGTGTGGTTTCAACAAGATGGGGCCACGGCTCACACAGCACGCGCTTCAATGGCTCTCTTGCGCGAACACTTTCCACAACGCGTGATCTCCTTAAGGGGCGATCTCCAGTGGCCAGCGCGCTCGCCGGACTTAGCCCCCTGCGATTATTTTTTGTGGGGATACTTGAAATCCTTAGTGTACACCAATCGTCCGAGGACCCTAGCTGAACTGAAGAACAACATTCGCGTTGCTATTGCTGACATTGGTCCAGACATGCTTGAGAAGGTGGAGCGAAACTTCCGATCTCGTCTGACAAAATGTATTGAACAGCATGGAGGTCACCTACAAGATGTAATATTCCTGTCTCTTATACACATCTAGATGTGTATAAGAGACAGATGTAGCTCTTTGTAAAAAAGAAAGAATTAAAACGCTATCTTTAATACTTTTTACTTTGTGATTTTTTTAAAAGAGTAAGTTCCCACGCCGCACCCTGTATAGGTACACCGTTGTCTGCAACTACAAGTGTTCAGTGCAGACAGTAAAATTGTGTTTGAGCAATGATGTCACTTAATTATTACAGGATTGTTAATGCAATTACTTGGTCAACATTAATATTGTAGCTTACTGTGTACTTCATATGATATTTACTTCTAAGCTCCGATGTATTTTCGTTGACGCCCTTGATAAGCGTTCTTTCCGCCCTATTCTGGCTCTGCCAGATATGCGCTGTGAAGCATGCTGCACCTATTAGCTCTGGCTCTGTGAAGCATGCTGCACCTGTCAGCTCTGACTTTGTGAAGCATGCTGCATCTGTTAGCTCTGGCTCTGTGAAGCATGCTGCACCTGTTAGCTCTGACTTTGTGAAGCATGCTGCACCTGTCAGCTCTGGTTCTGTGAAGCATGCTGCACCTGTTAGCTCTGGCTCTGTGAAGCATGCTGCACCTGTTAGCTTTGGCTCTGTGAAGCATGCTGCACCTGTTAGCTCTGGCTCTGTGAAGCATGCTGCACCTGTCTGCTCTGACTCTGTAATCATGCTGCACCTGTCAGCTCTGACTCTGTAAAGCACGCTGCACCTGTCAGCGGTGCAACTCTGCACACGGGTTCTGTTGCAGTTGTGCAGAGCGGCCGCCGCGTTGAAGAGGGCCGCGTGAGGCCGACAATTGATGGCCGAGGGCGGAGTTTGAGGAGCCGCGGTGTAGCGGGCGAGGGCTGGCGCTCTTGAACAGGTGGTATCATTCATAGACCAGCAGTGAGGGAAGACACACGCACGACCAGTGCTACTCTTTTGACACTGGCATTTGGTTACAAATTGCAATTTTTACGAGAGATTTCTAAATTTTTAGTGCTCAAGATCTCTAAATTCGAGTTAGTAATTTGATTGCCCAGCTTCGAGTCGACTGATTTTGTGGTTCCAAACCGATTTTGTGGTTCTACTTCAATTTCAAGTAGAGGCTTCGACAAACAGCGTCACAGGTGAGTTATACTAACTTCTGGTGCACAGACAATAGATAAATAAATGCCTCATTACGTCTTCACGTAACACATGTCTCTTAGACTTAATTATTTTATCCTTCTATCACGAAGAATCACTGAAACCTCATGGCGCAGCACAGTCGAGCCTCTTACTATCACCCTGGCCTAAAGCAATTAATAATCGAGGCCTAGAGCTGACAGCCATCAGGTTATTAATCTGCTTATTGCTTCACAAATGGAAGTGAAAGGAAGAAACTCTTGCCTGATGGCACCAGTGGAGGATGAAGCCTGGGAAATGACAAGGCATGGGCTGATATATCGCGGGTCACGGGTTGGTGGTGCATGGGCTGATATATCACGGGTCACGGGTTGGTGGTGCATGGGCTGATATATCGCGGGTCACGGGTTGGTGGTGCATGGGCTGATATATCGCGTGTCACGGGTTGGTGGTGCACGGGGTGATATATCGCGGGTCACGGGATGGTGGTGTATATGCTGACATCGCGGGTCACGGGATGGTGGTGTATATGCTGACATCGCGGGTCACAGGTCGATACAGGAAGCTTATCGACTTTCTTCAAGAGGGTGGAATTACCCACGCAAACTCGCCATAATCCCTCAAGCGTGTCGAGGGTAGTAGGCGAGGGGAGTGTACGTCGGACGGAAGTTGGTATTTGCTTTAGTAATCTCTTCCAGAGCCTGAAGTTGCTTCTGATGCACTGACACCAGTGAAAAAAGTAGCTTCGAAAAAATATTTCCTTTCATAAGCACTCGACTGTAATCTTGATCGTAAAATACCATATTTGGAGAATAAATCATTACATATTCTACAGACGAAACGACCAAATGATCTGACGATATTATTTTTGTGCGATCATTAGGATAGGATGGCGTTTGCTATGATGAAATAGATAATAGCCATCTTAACTATAGAGTTGAAAGATATTTCTTGGTGTGAATATGTTGCGTTTAAGATTTTAAATGCTCTGCATTTGTGAGATTTTATATGGTCTACATTTGATTCTTATATGTTGCGATACTCACAAAGTATGCCAGACGCTAAAATCTAGCAAAATTTTCCAACAAGAAAAAGTAGTAAAATTTATTGATTAATTATTAAAAAAAATTTATGTATCATGTTTTTGATATTACTTTATTATATAATACAATATACTTTTATTTGTTATGCTCTGCACGTTACACATATTTTTTCTATAGTTTTTTAGATATACTGTAACTTGCACTGTCTTAGGTGATCAGGTGATTGCTATGGCACTGCGATCAATGCCGGGCAGCTGATGAGGCGATTAACCAGTGCGTGGGACTGTAGAACATTGAGAGACCGGCGATCTCTACGAACAACCAGTGCGTGGGACTGTAGAACATTGAAAGACCGGCGATCTCTACGAACAACCAGTGCGTGGGACTGTAGAACATTGAAAGGCGGCGATCTCTACGAACAACCACTGCGTGGGACTGTAGAACATTGAGAGGGCGGCGATCTCTACGAACAACCACTGCGTGGGACTGTAGAACATTGAGAGGCGGCGATCTCTACGAACAACCACTGCGTGGGACTGTAGAACATTGAGAGGCGGCGATCTCTACGAACAACCAGTGCGTGGGACTGTATAACATCGAGAGGGCGGCGATCTCTACGAACAACCACTGCGTACGTGGGACTGTAGAACATTGAGGGGGCGGCGATCTCTACGAACGGAGAACTCACCAGGCGGTGTAGAGATCGCCGCCCTTCACGTACAGGATCAGAGGCATGAGGGAGCTGAAACTGAACTACTGAGAAAGACTGAAACACCTGGGACTGTACTCACTGGAGGGGAGAAGAGAGAGGTATATCATACTGTACACTTGGAAGATGATAACCGGACTGGCTCCCAACTTAGAAAGTGAGACCTCCAGAATAGTGACACATTACCACGAAAAGAAGGGGAGACTGTGGAACGTTCCCCATTTCATAACCGAGCCGCGGCCAGAGTACAGAATCTCCGTGAGGGATCACTGTCCGTTGTAGGACCGAGGCTCCTAAATGCCCTGCCAAAAGAGCTGAGAGGTGGGGAGTTCACCCTTGCAACTTTCAAGAGATGATTAGACTATTGGTTGAGAAAGATCCCGGATTGTCCAGCAATGTGAAACTACCCTCATCAAGTGACATCTTGCATCAGCTGGCCCAAAGGAGGCCAAATATACGGAAAACGTCCAACTTTACATCCGGGACCCGAGGGCGAGTTGACCTGCCTAGCGACGACTCGGAGACGGAGGACGACGAAGGCGGCGCATCAACGTAACCGGGGACTAGGAAGTCCCGAACTCATCATAAGAATAAGAATCATAATAATCACCACGCGCGTCTATCAAAGCATCTAATTCGTGTTCATCAATATGTTCTGAAGGTATTACTTTTTTTTTGTGCTGTCAGTTTATGACGAATCAGACCATTTCTGACGTGAAGCTTATAGTCTTAATGGACTTAGATTTTAATAAATATCGTAATACCTATATGGGCGATCGATTTGTAATTAATTATAGGCATTAACTTTAGATTGATATCAAGGAGTTAATGGAGAAAATTGCCTCAAATAATGCAATTATTTTCTTGTATCATTTTAGATTAATATATAAATTGTCCCTATATGAATGAATCGCTGAAAGCAACATCAAACAACTTGGCCGATATACCTGCACATATCAAATTTGAGAGTCAAACTTTAAAATGTTAAAACTAATTGAGGATACTTTCTAGTATGTTTTAGTTAATGAATATGCAGCAAGACTTCATTTGAAGTTGAATTAGGTCACGATCTAAGTGTAAAATTCCCACCGGTTTGAAATGCAAACAAATTTCGCAAATATGAGGATGCTATTAAATATTCCTTGACGTTTAGTCAAAGGTAGAAGCTAACAAAGAGCAAAATTCCCGCCGGTTTGCAATGCAAATTAAATTTCGCAATGACAAAAATGCTATTAAATATTCCTTGAATCTTGGTGTTCGATAGCTGTTGATGGCAAAGGTGGCAAAGGTGGCAAAGGTGGCAAAGGTGGCAAAGGTGGCAAAGGTGGCAAAGGTGGCAAAGGTGGCAAAGGTGGCAAAAGTGGCAAAGGTGGCAAAGGTGGTAAAGGTGGCAAAGGTTCTTTGATGAGTTGGCAGTTGCTGCAGGTGCCCTGATAGTAGTAGGTTCTGAGTGCAACTTCTTGGTCAGCAGTGGTGGTGCAAGCTCATCAAGAAGTTGATTATGTGTACGTTAGCTATGTAGTTTTCTAGCGGCGAGTGCATTTACATGAGATCCACAAGTAGTCGTTGATGTGCATATACGGAGGCTTGGAAGGTTATTGTTTGTGAGTGTAAAATTTCGGCTAGAAGCTGGTGCTGTGAACTGCAGCTGGACTAGTACTTTTTACTGCGTAGATGATGTAGTTGATGTTTTGGTGATGGAAGTAGTTGATGGTTTTGAACTTACGCTCGGTAGGCAGTTGGTGGTGAGTGCAGGAGCTCAGTGAGCAGTTAGTGGTGTGGACAGAAGCCCTATGAGCGGTTGATGACGTGTATTAGAGCTCGGTAGGCAGTTGGTGGCGAGTGCAGGAGTTCGGTCGTCCTTGACCTGCGATGACAGTAAAGCTGGTAGTCCTTATCGGCCGAAGTGCTGCCTGGCTATCATTATGCGCCTCTTCCAGCGCCTGCTGTAAAGGTGCAACCTTTGCATGATATATGGAGAGCTTTATACTAATGCGCCTATTTCTTTGTAAATAAAGTTAATTTCATCCTGCATGATCGCTGTGAAAAATTCCAAAGACAATTGCATTTAATTCAATAACTTTTTTATAGTACCAGTACTTATATAACAATATACAAATGATATTCCGCTACAGCTAGAGGCACGATTAAAACCAGGTGTGGCAATGCATTCATTTTATTTTTTCAACTACAGACATCTCAAGGATTTGGTCAACATAGGTATGTTGCACCGATTCGTTTTATACGCAATTTCTAAATCATATTTTGGTATATTATAATTTAACAACTCGAGGATTTTGTACTTCGGGCTCAAATTGATCATCATTGGTGAGGTAAAAGGTCTGGTGCCCTTTGGCAATTTGGTATGCATTTTAGATGTTAGACGATCAATAGGTAGGGAACTATGTATTTTCTAATTAGCATGGAAGTAGTAGCCTGAAAAGAGGAGGTCAATGTCAGAACTTAGTGGTGCGCAGCGCTGCCCTATGCAGTATTCAGGTCACCACCTGATCCTCGTGACGGGTAAGTACGGAACTTATGATTGGTGCGCACACCGAAATATTTTATTTCGGTCAAGGTTTCGGTTATTCTCCATTGAAATGAGTTCTCAAATTTCTGATGGATAATTTTTATTTCTTGATGTTTGAGTTTAATCCTCTCGCATACTTGTCGGAAAGTCTATCTAATAAGTGAAATCATATATTGAAAAAAGTCGAGAAATAAAATTGCAATAGCATTACTATTCTTGATTTCCCATTCGCCAAAATCGACCGAGAAATTTTTCGGCACTGAAATTTGTATGCGCAGGCTAGATTTCATCTCACTTTTACGTTATTATTATTAATACTAACTTGAGAGAGAGTTGGAATCGCCGTTGGTCCAAACTGATTGGTTTTTATTCGAGTTTTTCAAATAATAATCACCTTAGGATTTACAGTTCAAATGATAGCATGTCATCGGATGGGAATAAGTCCAATAACTCATGAACTGCGTTCCCAGCAATGCGCAGCTGAGAAGGCAACACGAGTCATAGCTTCGCGTTCTTTGGGAAAAATCTTGCCCGAGAATGAAATTCACCTAAAGAAAAAATTTTATATTCGAACTCAACGGAATCTTTGTGAAGAGATGCAAACAGCTATGAACGCTTATGTATTCAACACGCTCACAGTAATAAGTTTTCATTCACTTCGTCGATAAAATACTGAGAAATTTCTTCCAAGAACAAAAACTTACAAATGCATTCTAGAGAACGAGGCTAAATATCTCAAGTATCCAAGGTTCAATCCTAGCAAGAATCCCAGTCGTGAAAGCCTGACCTATTCCAGGAGACGATTAGATTTTAGGAGCCGTTAGAGGACGATCGACCTCAATGGCTGCCAGGCCTGCTGATAGGCTAAGGGCACGTGAAACTTACCAGAAGTTGCTTATATTAGTTCTCCTTAAAAAGTCCGCAGCAAAACAAAACGAGCTGGTGGGGAAAGCTAAAATTGTAAGCAAATAAATATCTCAATTCCTCAAATGAAAGTCAAAGAATGTAGTAGCCAAGGAATTTTTTTTAATGTGCTCAAAATTCTTTATGAGACGTTTTTAATGAGATACTGCCATCCGAAATGTTTGACACACCTTCGGTGTTTCATGGTTTATATTCTGTTAGATCCAAATAGCGCAAGAGAAATCGGTGAATAACTTTAAATATTTGATTCTCATTTATTTCGATTTATGAACGCTCGCTAGTAGTGGGAAGAAATTTTTTTCAGACCCACTTCAAGAATTCGAGGTTTACCGGGACCAAATGACGAAGGCATAAGGCAGCAGAGCGCAAGGTAAAGAAGGAATCGTGTGATTTTTAGCACATGCATGTGGTTAAGATGCATTTCGCTGAGCCGCCCATTTTCGATGACCTTCAATATTATAATAATAGTTCGACTTCTGAGGCCTTGATACCAATTACCCTTAATCTCTCTGTGTCGGTCCTGGATGGCATATCATGCAGTAGAGCTGCAGATTAGCAATGGAATTTCAAATACCATTTGATTTTCAGTCAAACTTGTAATATTAAAGGGTCAAATCTCTGCTCGTGAGGGTCCTTCAGAGTCTGGGACGCCGTTTGTTGGACAAATGGCGACGTGGGCAGCATGAAAGGCATAATTGTTATGGCTCTTGGACGGAATGAGCACAGGCCTCGAATTCGTGGAAGGGCTGTCGAGGGATGTAAAGTTAGGGCACTTAAACATCGGGTGAAGCGAGAAGGGTTGATTCTGCATTATCCGTAGGGGCTGGTTGTCGGTGCCTGTGACCTGGCTTGGTCAAAGCAGTAGAGAACAGAGTGGTTAGCCAAAAGCGAGCATTATTCCGTACGTTCTTACCCCGATCTATCCTCTTTACTTGGATTGCTTGTTCGATCTTGGTGAGCAGTCAGTCGAAATGAACGATCATATATGGGCTACGTTGTTCACTGGTGCAGGGATCGATTCATAAAATGTGTAACTTAGATTCTACAAAGGGCTTATAGTCAAGGAGTCCCTTTAAAATTTTTTTGAAAATGCGGATAAAGTTGGGAATAAATCCTTCGGTAGCGCAAACATCCAAAGACTGTTGTAACCTAAATAAGGAGTAAGTATGTGATCAAAATTTCCACCACGAATTGTATAGCATTCGTATTAACAGATGAAAATGGCAATTTATATTTCAATATCATTGGTTCGAAATTTGAACCAAGCTTTTACGGAAAGATGCTAAGTCAACATTTCATGTGTAATGAACAATAATTATATCAGTAATTTGAACACACCATTGTTCAGTGTGAACTAAACAGTGCGACGTTACACTGTCGAAAAATTATTTTTAGCTCACCGATGATTCCTTAGAGTTAAGGATTTGGAATCACTGCGTCTTTCAAAAAGAAAGTTTTGTCTTAACAACCCTTTCACGGGTAGTTCTTACCCGTTTAGAATTGATAACTGATAGATTTTTGCGTTCCTTCGCTCGTTTAGTGGGAATCGTTTTTTCTAAACTTGGTCTCTATATTGATTATCTTTGTATTATTAAAGTTTCGAACTGATGATGTAACTGGTGACATTAAAATATTTTTAAATTCTCCAAAACTTACTTGTTAATTTTCAATATATATGAATGAAATCCGGCATTTTTTATACGTCACACACAAGAGCTTTCCGAACCATGCACGACATATCAATTGAACTGATAGTCATGCTTTATATAGACCAGTCCCTGCTGTGGATCAGAACTTGTATCTGATGACCAGTGCACTGCGGCAGCGTCAAGGCCATGGGCATCTAAGGTGTCATTACAATGGCACTATAAACCATCTTCGTCGGCGTCACGGTATCGCAAAACTGTGAACCGCATAGCTTTTATGGCTGTCGGTGAGCCGATAGTTTGGCGCATCATTGACCGGTGGTAGGACTCCGTATATAGGAGCACGAGTAACCTCTTCCTTCAGTCCACATCCTGACGTCGTCCTATATAAGGTGTGGTGCGACCTCTCTTGTTGTATGTTGCTATAGGTGCTGTGTAACACTCTCGTTTGCTAGCATTAGGTGTGCTGCAACACTTCCCATCTTGTTCTATGTCGTTATGTGTAGTTCAACACTTCCTTACTTGTTGTCTGTCCTTAGATGCGCTGCAACAATTTCTCTTTTGTTGTCTATCATTAGATGGGCTGCTACTCTTTCTCTTTTGTGTAATATATGGTGCGCATTACCACTTCCATTCCTGTTGTTGGTTTTTAGCTGTGGGCAAAGCTACCACTCTCATTTCATTTGGTTGGTGACTGTACAAACAAATTAATTAGGAGCACATGTGATGGTATTTTCTGTCAGGAGCGGTGACCCGCTCATAATAAGCGCTCGGCTTTCATTCCTGCGTCCGTATTATGATATTAAAAACAAATTAGTACTGTCCTCCGTGACCACATTGCTATCAGACCACTATATAAATGACACTGTATGGTAGAATTCCACGTAAGAGTGTGCACACTCTTACGTGGAATCCTATCACACAGTGGCATTTATAGTCTGTACAAGAAATTTCAACGGGGAAGTTGCTAACTCGTGTTAAGATCTCATAATTGGGAGTTATTGATGGCTGGAATCCATAGCAAACAAAGAGTTATGCATGAGAGTAACAATTTAAAGAAACTACTTTACAGACCGGGAAGACATTGACAGCGGTCGATAAACGAATTTATTAGCTTAAAGCAAGAAATGACAAAAATAATCATGAAAACAATTTCTTCGCTAGATTCCATCCTGGTTTATAGCTTAAACTTGCATTTTATCGAAATTTCAAATGTATTCCAAATTTTTTATGATGCTGATTCAGTTTGCTAAGTTAACTAATCACTCAATATGAGCTGCAACGTCACCCGTTACAATATCTCTTCTTCCACGAGTTTTTGTTTATTAAATAAC